TCAAACACAGCCTGGAAGGTTGGAGCTATATTTTGCTATTTGGAGAATTATTTAACAGGTTTGTATACTGATATAGGCAAGGAAGGTTAGACTTGAGTTTGGTAGTAAGGAAAATGGCAGAAAGACCTGAAGTAGGTACAACCTATCCAGAAAACCTCAGGGAAGATAAAATGTATGGTGGGAGAATGGTGGGCAAGGTTTGAAGGTATAAGGTAGATTGTACGTATTTTAGAAATCAAGCAAAGAACAGGGACTTCATTCACGGAGCTGGTGTTTCTAAAGTTGTGGTCTGCATACCACTGTTGAAAAAATAAGATACATTTACTGATACATAGTTTTCATTTCAATATTTATGTATTTCTTATCAAAATTAGGGAAATATAACTAATACATGGAATCCAGGTCAAAAAAGTGAGTTACAGACAAAAAGAAAGTAAGTAGTTTATATAATGCATTTGCCAAAAAATTATGAAGACAGTTCATCAAACAGTGATGTTTGCATTGTTAGACAAAATGGGAACTTCGGTGGTATTCTAATATAGGGAGAATGTGATATATTCTTTTTGATTCAGAATGAAGGCATCTGGATCCCAAGAATCTAGGGTCTCCTAAGAAAATCACTTGCCTACTTTTTTGCCCACATTTCAGGATGAGAACAGAAAGGAACAAAGCTCTGCTTGTGACTAAATATCCTGTAGATAATATGGTGAACTGGCAATGGCGACATGACCAGGAAGGCCAAAATCTTTTACTTTAGAGCAAACAGCAAGTAACGGAAAAATATATAATAGAATTCTGCATTGCTTGTTAAATTGAGGAAAAATGTCATTTTATTAATATAATTGTCTCAAGCAATCAGTTCTACAATCACCAAACAACTCTAAGCAAGCCAGCATGCTAATAGTATCACACAATGATTAAAAGAAGTATCTTTTGTGAAGGTTATGATTTATTGGAGTCCAGGGCAGAAAGGGGCCATAAAGCAAGTGCATACAACACTAGGCAGAAATTATGTTTTCAGAAGGTGGGAGAAAATGCTCTGAGGGGAGTTAATGGAATAATAATGATGATGATGACAACATAACAGTAATAATAATACCTTCCATTTACTGAGTCCTTTCATGTACCAGGTGAAGATTTAAGCATTTTTAATGGAATATCTTACTTAATCCTCAGAGCAGCCTTGTAATATTGGCAATACTGAGTTTAGATATTTTAAATAACTTATAAAAGCCAGTATTCAAACTTGAGCTGGCTGATTCCAAAGGTACACATTCTTGAAAACTGCTCCAAGTTGTTTTGGTGGTAAGGTCAGGAAAGGCCTCCCTAGAAGGGGCTCTTCACTTAAGCCTTAACATCATAAAAAGGTAGGGATGAGTTGAGAAGCCAAACCAGCGAAACTGTCTACTTACATTCAGGAAAACATTAATCATTTAGTTCTGTCAAAGCTGGGAAATTACAGAAGACAAAGCTGGCAAATTCCTTAGGTCAGGGGCTTACATACTAGGAACAAGAGCTAGTGCTTAAGTGAACCTACTACTGAATTCTTGAGACATCATGAAAATTGTGCTTCAGGAAAACTCCCTGGGCCACGGTGGGAGTAAAATAGTGTAGCAATTGAGAATGAGTCTGGCAGCAGGCTATGAACCTACATCCCACTCCTGCAACTGATCCCTGCAAGCTAATAAACCCCTAGAAGTCTGTCTCCTTATCTAAAACAATATTTTGGTGTTGATGATAGTAAATATGACGATGGCTATGAGAATTAAAGTAGGTTGTTTATGTAAAATATTTGTCACGGCACATGTATTAGGACTCAGTAAGTACTAGCTTTTATGATTAGTGTGTAAAGGACAGATCCTAGAAGAGAGAGACTGACAGCAGGATATAACTTAATTGGCTGCCAACACAGTCTCCAGATGAGAACAGACAGAATCATGAACTAGGACAGCAGCAATGGCAACTGAAAAGAGGACAGTTGCACAAGATATTTCTGAGGCATGAGTGCCTTCATGATTCATTAGATGTGGGAGGCAGAGACGTGACTCTCTGAGTGTTCACGCCTGGCTCACTGGCACAGTGATGGTGCTATTACCAGATAAAGAGCAAGCAGGAAGAAATGGTGGCTTGGAGGAGAAATTATGGGTCCAGAATCTGTTTTGATGTTTTAACTATTAATTAAAGATATCCTTCAAGTCTTATCAAGCTACCACCAAGGCAGTATTTTTCTCAAGTGTGATATACATACAACTGGTGGTAAAGAAGAGGATTTGGATGGTAGATGCAAGGATCATCAGATACAATTGAATGACATGGTAAGAAAAGTCTTTCCTGTGAAATGCTCCTTCTATCCTGTTTACACCAAGGAAATGTTTTACTTTGGTGCTAGTTGCACTTTCCCATTTCTCTAATACCTCTCTTTCTCTCCCTCTTTTTCAGCATACTCAGAGTGTGGGGAACACAAAAACAGTTAAAATATAAGAACATTTGTTTGTTTTTCATTGTATTTTAAAATCAATTTCTATTTATTCCAAATGCTTCTGGTTTTCCAATTATGGTCCTAGTATGATCTTTCCCTTAAAAAATTCATTTCACTGAAAACAATCAATTTAAAGAAAAAAATTCTAAGAAACCAGCATATACAGTCACCACTTGGATGTAACAAAATCATGAAAGATTGGCTTGAATGAATGATATTTAGAAATCCCTACAGTAAGCTAGGTAAAAATTTAGGCAATATTCTTGCCCAGTTTTGACAGAGGCTTCTTAAAGAGAGGCACATTCACTCTAAGTCTAGGAGAAAACCACATTGCTATAATAGCTAAGATTCAAAAGGACTATACGCTTGATCTTCTGATAATTTCCCAAGGAAGTTGTTAATGTAACTTCCTTGTACATATTAACTACTTAAGGAGCTATGCTTCAAAGAGTAGCATCAGAAATCCAATAAAAGATCCCACAGAAACTTCCAATCATTACAAAATCAACTATCACAAGAATGAGGCTGCCTTTCAGCATTGGTATTAAGTTTCAACTCAGCCTTTTCTCTTCATAGAGGCAACTGAAATTTTTGATACTGCACACAAAACACAAACCAGCAAGAGCACGGAATGAACAAGAAGACTGGTGTGGAGGCTAATTACCTTATCAAAACTCACAAGGAATTGATGCAATCAATTAAATGCTGCTCAATATCAAATCTGATATCAATGCAGTTTTGCTTTGATTTCCCAAGGAAGAGTAACAGTTCTGTGACACTTGGTAATTTTTCTTGCCAAACCTTAAATATGTCAATCTTTGTCTTCTGGAAGAATCTCCTAATAGACAGTGGGCACTCTTAGATCATTCTCAATATGAGACATTGAAGAGGAAATGATGTTAGGCCCTATGAGACAATGTCAACCCTCTCCTTTCTACCATTTGGTTTTAATGCTACTCTGCACTCAAAGGATAAGCAGAAGATCTTAGTCATGAATTTATTGGTTCTATTTTAGGGTGCTGGGATAATAGAAATATAATATAAAACAGAATTTAATGCCCAATTTCTCATTCTGGAGGCATGCAGATTTGGAGATTATTTTTACACGTGTTCTTCCTTTCACAGATGGGAGCCTTCAGTTCTAAGGCAATCCTGAATCTTTTCTAGGGACCACATGAAAAACTGTTCAAGTACTTGATGTTTAGGATTTCTAGTGAATAAGGGAACAGAAGGACACTTTTCAAAAGAATACTCAAGCATTTCTTTGACCTTCTTTCAGACTTCTTTTGCAAAATAGATTTTTTAGGAGAAATCTGCAAATGCTGAAAACAATGTTAGGGCCAGGTAGCTTTTCGAATTAGGGGACAGTATTGATATAGGTAGAATCTTAAATTTCTACCTTTTCATAGATCCTTAATTTATTTCTCTCTGTACAACAGACCAAAGCCTTCCTCCAAAATAGCTAACACAAAATTATGCCTTGTGAATTCCAGGGAAAAAAATAAGGTATGTGTAAATAAACAGATAATAGCTCTGTCATGGAAATACATATCAAGGACATATCTTAGTAGACAGTAAGCTGAAAATATACTATTTGAAATTGAAACTGGAACATATTTAAATCTGTGCAATTTAAAAAGGAACAGCTGGTATAATCATATGGAGTATATACTCAGCATTTCAGAGGGTTCATACTGGCCACCCATGAGACTGATCTTATCTGAAAGCATGTTTAACTTGCCCCACGTGAATTTTTAAAATTAATTCAAATAATGCCATTAAATATCATGATTTTTGATATAAAATATAGATTTTTAGCTACTCTTAAAAATCTGGATCCTGACCACATTAGGTCCAATGAATATTTGATAATTACTATTGATAATAGCAAGAGCTTCTATTTATTGCATGCTAACTGCCAGGTATTATTCTAAACACTTTGCTGTTTTTCTATACCCAGTATGCCTGTGATGCAAATCTTTTTGTCCACATTGGTTATCTGATCCCTGAGAAATGCAGTTATTTTCTCAATATTGATAGCTGGAACAGATGGAATTGTTATTTGAATCCAGACTTATTTGATACCAAAGCCCAGTCCCTTATCCACTAACAAAGCCAGTAAAATATTATTACTGAACAGAGAATTAGTCCATATTCACTGGTCACTTTTCTGCATTTGTAGAAAGTTAATTGTCTTTGTGTGGTTACCTTAAATGCTGCTATTTCAATATATTATAAAACATATTTCTTAAATATTTCCTTCTCTTAAATAATTGCTCATCATTTTTGGTTAAAGAAATAAAGCAAATAATTTACCAATCCAATTTGCTTCAAATTGATGGAATTCATTTAGATTTATCTTTAACTAAAATACTAATTATAATTTTCTCTGGCAAATTAAAACACTTCAATTAATTTTCTGAATATCATTTGTAGACAGGTATTAAAAAGCACTCTGAATCATATATACCAGAATTTTAACACTGGAAGGGTCTCAAAATTTTTTTCAAGTGCATCTTACCAGAAGTTGTCTTCACTACTTCAGTGGTATTTCTCAGTCCAACAAATGAAAACTGATAAAGCCTCCAAGATCTTGTGTCACCCACTTCAACAGAACTACGCTTCCATTGATAAATAATTTCTTCACGTGGATAGCCATCTGCCAAGCAATGAGAAAGCACACACTTAAAATTATTATAAGAGGACATATGTAGCCACCACCTTCTATGAATAAGACATCAAGGTAGGTGCTGAAAGAGATAGAGCTATGTGTCAGATGAGGATCCTGGACTGAAGAGCATCACAGAAGAGGAGATACATACAATGATATCTTAGAAATAAGGGGCAGTTAGATTAAAAACTCACCAGATCAAAATTACCCCTGAAAATAATCTAAATTACATAGAAGATCTACAACATATACATGGCTTCATATATACTTTGTATTGTCTGGGTAAGATATAAAAACTAGGCAGTGTATCATAAATAGTACATAGGTAAGATACATTTCATGGTGAAGAAGGGTCAACAGGGGAAGATGTTGAGAGTCGTAAAGAAACAGATAATAATGGGGGCAGAGCAGACTCACATTCCCTTCCAGGGCACACCCTGGGGCGGGAGATGCCGGGAGAAAACCTCAACCATTTATTCTCTCTCAATATGTGGGGGCTCTGTTTTCTAGATATATGTGATATACAGTGATGTTTCCCTCTAGTTCCCTCTGGAATGGATGTAATAATAAACAGATGATTGCTTCGCTCATCACTGATTTTTTTCTTTGAAGGCATGGTTATTATGATTTAGATGGCTCTTAGAGTCTCCCTCACTCCCTGGCTGGGAAATTATATTTACACAAATTTACACTTAAAATTCATAATCAGCTTTTCATTCTGCCCAGTATGCATACTTAATGGATCAAAAACAAGGAGGAGGGGAGCAACCTGACACAGGTGCTGAACAAATAGTAAGGCAAACATTTGGGGTGAATTGAGCCTTGTTTGGGTTCAGGCAGGAAATATCTGTGAAAGGTACTAAAGCTTAATATGTTTTAGAGTCATCACAGATCTTCCTATAGTCTATTTCCAATGATAATAATAATCACTAAAAATAATAGAGCTTTCTATGGAATCAGATTGTATGTAGATAGCATACCAAGCTCTTTACACATGTCATACCAACAAAACAGTATTGCTGCAGGCAGGTCTTATCGTCTCTATTGGCTACCTGGGAATGCATTCACTGAGAGATTTAATTTACTGAAGTCTGTAGTGATTAAGGTGGGATTCGAACTAGATCTATATGGTACCAAAAATCAGTCTTTTACTCGCTGGTGGATAACTAGGACTAGATATTACTAGAACTCTAGGTGGAGGAGGTAATTTTCAGTTTTGCTATCTTTAATAAGTGTACCAAAATTGGAAGGAGCAAACCATGCTGTAGGATCCCTGTGCCACCTCAGGTCTAAGGGAGAAAATAAGCAAATATGCTACTCTCTTCTTCTGGGTCCATGGAGCAAGGGGGACATATAATCCACCACTGGCCCCTTCTATTGAGTGCAGACCTGGCTTTATAATGATTCTCAACAAAGGGTTCGAGGCAACCACTGCCAATTTATTAAACATTTACACGCCAATGAAACCTATTTGTAACTCCTGACAAAGTAGATCCTTTTTGTAGGAATAACTCTAACAGCGACAGGCTGGTGTTATGACAGAAACTTAAAATATTCAGTCAACAACAATGCTTAATGCAATTTTGCAATTTCTATGAGTCTCCCAATTACTTGACATTGGTGAGAGGGGATCAGAATACAGAATGACTATTACTTACAACTAGAGAACTCCAAAGGGCAGGAGTGTTCATCCATTGGAAAATTGTGCAGTTGTAATTGGCACTCAGCATCTATTGTCAACCTAAACAGAAAGACATGAAGCATAGAGAGATTTTAGATGTTTTTAAAATGTACATTAGCACAATTTCTAATGATCATTATTAATCTTTATTTTTAGAGAGTGTGTTGTGCATTCTTATTGATAACACAAGGTGATTCTCACTGGAGAAACTCATTGAGTCTAGGAGAAAATTATTTAACACTCACTTAACATAATTCATTTTCACAGACCAAACGTAGTATCTTACTAACCTAAAGTCCATTTATTCAAAATTTATGATCATGTAATTTTTGGCAAATGATCTGTGCACATGAAATCACTCAATGAATATATTTAACAGAACAAACTGCTTTAAGAACTTAATTTACTGTTTACATATAGATGAATGCTGATAATTCTCTTGTCTGCTAATTAAATCTTCTGTTTATAAGTACTTCTTAGTTGTTAGCTTTAAATTAATATATGTTAGTTTTAAAATACCTATGTTTCACAATGGAACATTCACATTCATTCTTATAATGGAACACTATGAAGCCATTAAGTAGGATGCTATAAAGTAGAAGAATATTTAATGATAACAAGAAATGCTAAATACACATACACAGACATATTAGAAAAATGTTTGCCAATGAGTCTCATTTAGTTTGCATCTGGGATGCTTATTAAACATACAGAATTTCTGCATCTCAGTATGGGCTGGGATTCTAGAGGGAAGAGAATTTAAAGGAGTCCCAGATGTTTGGACTATCTCTGAAGAAATATAAAATTGTAATGGTGACAGGTTGATGACTTTTTAAATTTCTTATGTGTTAGCCACATTTCTCACAATGTACAGATACCAATCTTGAAGTAATAAAAGTGTCATACACAAAAACATCTATTTATTTTAAAATATTTTACGATCTAGCATAATTTTTAATTGGGGATATTTTATTTTCTGTGCTATAACAATTACCAGTCTTAAAATATAACTAATAATCATTGAACCTTTCTCTAATTGTCAACATGGCACTTGGCAAGGTGATATGTTCTCTCATTTAGTAAGCGTTATTATTGTAGTTGAACTTGTCCAAAGTCACAAAGTGGCAAAGTTGAGATTTGAACCCAAGCTCATCTCCAAAACTGGAGGTTTAAATCACTATCAGTCAACAATTACATGCTCTTCTGAAGAAAAGATTTTTTCATCAGTGAAATTATAAAAAAATTTAATATTTTGTTAGTATTATTTCTCCAAATTAATAAAATTGAAAATAATATAGAATTTTTTCTCTATACGTACATATGTATCTATGCACACGAACACATTCATAAGTCATTATAAATTAGCAATGTGACTAAAATCATTTCTATACAGATTGGCAACTCATTCAAACCTTGATTGACATTTTTATGATTGGCATCATAAGATTGACAGACCTTATGAGTGACATTTTTAGGGTGGTTTCATAATTAAATATTATATACTGATTTTTCATATTAAGAGACGTGAAAAAATAACATTACGAGAAAGAAAAAGGAACTTGAGAGAGTGTGACTAACTTAATATTTCCAAACCTAGGCTGAGCTCTCATTTATCAGACAAATTTGGGTTTCCACTAGATTCTAATCCCAGTCATTACCTGTTTCTAATTCAGTGAAACCTATGATGAATACAAAATATATGCAATCAATTTCTTTTGTAATGTGGACATTTTCCCTAGCAACTGACATATCTCTGATTAAGGTTTCAGAGCCATTTTAAAGTACTATATTTTGTATGGTGAATGTGATATAAGGCATAAAATATATGCTGCAAGGGCATTTAACATGAATCATTCTAATGCTGGAAGATCTAAGATACTAAGATCTAGACAAATCATATTACTCATATCTTTCACTGAAAATATACACAAATATTTTAATATTTGCTGTGCTTACAATGTAACAAGCTCTATGTTAAATACTTTATGTATCACCTGATTTCGTCCTTGTAACAGCTCTGTAAGATAAGAAAAATTATCTCCATTTTATAGAAATTAAAGAAATGAAAGTAAGAGTTTGCTCAGTTGCGTTGCTAAAGAACATCTTGGGCAAGGGTGAGTCATGGGTGTGGTGGGGCCTTCCTTTCCAATAATCTTCATCAGTTCCCACAAAATTCCTCTAAACAAAAATGTAACCAAGTAAAATCATCAAACTTACAAATAAAGCATTGAGATACATCTTCTAGCACCAAGACCCTTATACCATATGCTGCCCCTAAGTCCTGTCCATACAAATTCTGGAGAGTTGCCCTAATTCATACAGATAGTGAAATATAAAGGTAAAAATCAAAGCCAGATTTGTCTGATTCTTAAGTCTATGTACTTATCTGTTACATTGTTTAATAATATACTCTCACCAATGAAAAACATTAATGAAAAAATATTTAAATACATGTAAGTATGAAGTGCTAAGATAATGGCATAAAATAATTAAAGTAGAAAACCTCCTAAATGTCATTTAATATTTCAGTTCAGAAAATAAAAGATACCTCTTTCAAGTTTTCCCAAAGATGTCTACTCTCAAAAAAAACAAAACAAAACAAAAAAACCCAGTAAATCAAGTTAGTTTAATTGTGTAGTGGGAAGTGGGTGCTGGGAGATGGAATTCATTCTAGTTAACTCACCATTGTACAGCTAAAAAGAGAAGGAATTTCCACATTACAAATCCTCCTATAGCAATGGTTTCCCTGGAAATGGAGGCATTTCCAAGCACAGCAACTGGTGGCCCCAAGGAGAGTTAACTGTATTTTAGTTTCCATATTTAAAGTAGCAAGGTCTCACACCAAGACTGGTGCAACAATCAGGTGATCTTACAAATGCAAGAGAAATTTCATGCCCCTGTGAGAAAAGAGAGTTCTCACATCAATCATAGAGAATAAGTTCTATCTATGACTAGTCCTTTGAAAAAGCTCATTGATAACATAAATAAAAACTAATTTTGTGGTGTCACACACTATTTGATCAAACGTGCCAACCCTGATGTGGCCTTGCAATTTCTTTCATTTAAGAGAGTGCAATTGATCTTCGTTTTATCCCCAGCAAGTGCTTCTTTCCTTTTTCGACAGGATACCTTAAGGTGTAGAGAACTCGACCGTCATTCCAAATTCTCAGCATTCTGTTGGGGGTGGTTATCCAGTGTGCATCAGCCTTTTTGGAGTTTCTGAAGAAAGTGTCTGGAATCCAGATTTTCCCCACCATGTTGCTATTCAATCGGAGGACTTTAATGGTGCTGTTGAACTTCAGACGTCTGTCATACCATGTTTGGGCAAAAAATATATCAATCGTATATTCCTGTTTTAAAGAAAAAGATGAAACAACATTTTTAGCAGTAGGATTTGCATTTATTGTTTTTATTCTGCCAATATGAAGGAAAGCTTTCCATTCTTTAAAAGAGAGCAAAAGCTATGCTAAGGAGACTCACCCATCTTTGGTAAATAAGCTGATATTTTTATGAAGTAACAGACCTGTCTAAATGAATTCTGGCAAAAGATGATGATACAACCGTTTGCACTTCGAGTCCATAGAGCAGAGTTTCCTGTGTTCTGTGGGTGTTTGGGGTGTTGGCAATTATTTGTGGTGGTGGCAGGCTTGGGGATTTTAGGGCATTTAGTAGCATTCCTACCTCTGTCCCCCAAATGCCAGTAGCCCCAACACCACCCAAGTTGTGACAACTAAAAATATCTCCAGACTTTGCCAAATGTCTGTTGAGGAAAACAATCACCCAGGTTCAGAACCACTACTACAGAATAAAAGGAAGTCCAGAATAATCAAAACAGTCCTAAATTTTCTGCAAGTGACTGACTTTAGTCATGAAGAAATAGATGTAAGATGTATTCAGACCATTAGGCCTAGAGTCACTCAAGTTGTAGTTTGACTATGATATTTAGATATTATTTAGCGTTATTTTATAACTTGATTTTATAGTTACAGTTTCACGTAAACAGTATTTTAAAGTTATAGTTTCACTGTTATCTTATGATGTGTTATTTTATAGTATGTTCTACTCTATTTTATTATAGATTCCCATTTAGTCTTATTTAAGATTTGAATATAAAATGTTGAACAAGTTACATTTATTGTTACATCTAATGCACTATTTCCTATGAGAAGACCAAAGAAAAATATATCAGCATTTTTAAGAATATGAGAGCTGGGGAATGGGAGACACCCACATTTCCTAGCCCAATCTCAACCCACCATAATTGTATGATGAAGAACCAAAAAAAAAAAAAACAACGGGGACACTATTTATTTTCCCAAGAATATACAACCTGTAAAAAATGGACTAGAATCTTCTTTGAATCATGCCCATTGTCCTGTGTCATTCCCTTACACCTCCTGCTGCCTAGTCTCATTGTAACTACATTTCCACTGGGTTAAGCCATGCCACTTGGTTCACCATTTACTTGCTTATTTGCAGCCTACAAGTAATGAAAAGACAACCTATTTTATGAAATTCTTTGTCAACTAATTAGTGATGTACCAGTAGACTAAGGAATTAATTTCTGATGTACATTTTGGCAGAAAAAAGAAAAAGAAGAAACATCACAATATAAAAGCCTCAAGATTCTTTCAACCAGCATTTCATAAACTGATCCTAGGACAGTAACTCTAGGGACTAGTATTGCTAAATTAAAAGTTCTATGTTTAAATAAATTACATATATATAGCTTCCTCTTCTTAGCTATTTGTAATTTGTATCCAAATGCTAAATATTCTGAAAATTTTACTTATAAAGAATAAAACATCTTGAAATTTAAACGTCTTGGGTTACACAAGCAAGCTTACTCACATGAACTGTATAAGTAATAGCATACTTATTTTTTAATGACCCTAGTTGAGAGCAATTAAACCTTCTCATCTCTCCCTCTGACTCAATAGTATCTTTATTGGCTAGCTTCGTAAACAGTATTTTAAAGTTATAGTTTCATTGTTATCTTATGATGTGTTATTTTATAGTATGTTCTACTCTATTTTATTATAGATTCCCATTTAGTCTTATTTAAGATTTGAATATAAAGTGTTGAACAAGTTACATTTATTGTTACATCTAATGCACTATTTCCTATGAGAAACAATTCTGATTTGAAGCAAACTATGCCTGCTCCATACCATCAATATTCTAAAAATAGTGGAGGACTGTATTTTATAAAAGCATTTAACAAGTAAGGAATGATTATTGCATTTTAAGAGCATAGCATCTTTCCACAAATCAATTTCACATCTATGGCCACATTTAATTCTTGAAACAAATCATAAAAAAATAATCTTCATCCTCGCTGAAAGCTCACTTTGGGAGAGCATTAGACTGAAAAAATAATCTTCATATTGCAAGAGAATAAAAAGATCTGAAAGGCTATCTTTCCCTCCTGAGTTTTTTTGTGGGCATATTCTTGCTATTTACATGATACCACATTTCCTCCCTAATATGTTAGCAAAATAGACAAGCTGTTAGAAACTTACCATATTGATAGCGTTCACTGGACCAATGCTATTCACATACATGTCTGTGTGAATTAATGTTGGTTTCACTGCAAAGAGAACCACAGAGATACATGCATATGGAGAAGCACAGTATTTTAACTTTCAGTCTTTGTTATTATAGACATAGATTTATTTTTGGTATATTAGAAGTGAGTTATTAACAACTAACTTGAGGCTTGAACTAATTTGCTGCATTTAAACAGCTATTTGTGTTCAAAGAAAAACTCCTTTTAAGCATGTAAGCATAATACTTAAGCATAGTAGAGTTTTGAGACTGGTTATCATTTTAGACTATATAAAAATGAACAAATAAGAAAACACTATTCAGATTTTCTTCATCCTTCTTTCAGAAATTCTGAATTTTACTACTTTTTCTGCAAGCACTGTAATCTGTTTGGGCTTTGTAACTTGACCCAAATAGAGAAAAATAACTATGTAGTGACCTAGAAAAAAATAGTCATTAGAAACATGAAGTATAGACATAAATAGCAATAAGTATTATAAATTGTTATTGAAACATTATACCCTATGTTTCAATAGTTTCAATGCTTACAAAAAATAGTTTCAAATGCTTACAAACATCCTCATACACCTCTAGCCAACACAAAATCAATCTTCCTCAATGACTTAATGGATTCTGTGACTCACCAAATAATATGAGGAAACCGTATGGAAACCAATACCCACGTACCTGTCAGAAGACTGATATTAAAAATCATGTAGTATTACATCCATGACCAAGTGCACATGCTCTGTTTTCATGTAACATGTAATGAATAGGGATTCATAATATTATTCTGGGCTTCAATTCAGCAAGTATATTTTTCTCATTTTTTTTTTCACTTTCCTTGAAAATGCCATGCCTTTATTTCCCACAGTGGATTGAATTTTTTTCACTGTTCTCTGCACTGACACCCCTGCTTTTTACCTCAGTGAAGCTGCTTTCCCACCTCTGGGCTTGGCGCTGGACCAGCTGACTTACTTCAGCTAATAAATAGACAAAAGTGAGTGTGGTAGTTCTAATCCTAAATATTAAGCCTGAGGAGCTTCCACTTTCTGTCTTGCTCTTTGTTATTATCATAAGAAGGAGACTCCTAAGTAGCTTGCTGGTCCCGGAATTGAATGAAAATACAGCTCTCCTAAACAAGCGGCCCCAACCTGGTCTAGCTTAGATTAGACATGCCCAGCAAAGTGTTAAATAAATGCTTATTATTGTGCACCCCTGAGATTTTGTGGTGTTTGTTACACAGTAATGGGTTACCGATATGTTTCTTCTCTACCATTATTTACCTTTTTGTTTTTGATGTTACCTTACAAAGCAGTTGTCATTTTTCTCCTATGGACTTGGTGTAGGACCAATCCAGGAAATTTTGAATTTCTGCCTCTCAAGCTTCACTTGAAAATCATCTTTCTCCATTGTGAAGGTCTCAATGCCTCTCTATCCCCAGGCCTGAATGCTATTTTTACATTGTATTTTTACAACATATAATGACAGTATCCTTGAAATCTTTCAGGTTATTAAAATATGGTGATGTTTTCTTCTAATGTGGTAAATATGTTTGCTTCTGTCTACACCACACCACAGAAGACTTTAACATACCTCCTATATCAGGCCGAAGTTTATTATCATATCCTTCCAGGAGGTTGTTTAAGATGACAGTAACATCACCTTCAGGAACTTTTGGAGTCAAAACCCATGTTTTGTTAGAAGCATAATCTTCATAATCATCATCAGACTTTTGGCTAGTGAGGCTAAAAAAATAAAAATAAAACTCATTGATCAAGAAACATAGACTCCATCCAAATTTTCTTTTACTTACAGACCAATGGTAGGAAAGGAGAAAAACAGGATTTCAGAAATGTTTAACAAGAAATTACAATGAAAATTCCCACCTGATAGCTGGTCTAGCACAAATACAGATTAAAATTTGTTAGAGTGTACTCTCTAGTTTTCCAGAATTCTCAGTCCTCTCATCTGTACGTGGTTCATGTTTTACCAGTTACTTTTGCCTTTTCCATAATTGATGCTCCTCCTGTCCCCCTTCCCAACTTCATGAAGGACTTGTTAAAAAGAAACCTATTTCTGTGAAAGTGATGCTTAAATGACCATAATGTAGTCTAAGACCTCAGGCATAATGTCTACTTCTTCCTCCTTTGAGAAGTTAACTTGTTCCAGACTATTAATGAAAGTAAGAGACTGATAATTAGATTCACTTCCACAAACCTCCCAATAAGCTTCTCCCCCTTCAATTGAATTGCCAAGGGAGCTCAGTCTTGCTGCCTTTTCTTCCCCCAGGGTGTGTGTGTGTGTGTGTATTTTTTTCCCCTCCTTACACGGGAAGCAAGGGCGTTTCATTTATCTTTGAGTGCTAAGAACCTGGTGCTGGGCACGAAAATGTACCTGTAGACTTTGAAACCACTCTTTATTATAGCAAAATCTCTTAAGCTGGAAACTCATATTAATAGTTAATATACTAATATCATAGAAATGGAATTACCTATTTTAAGTGATCAAACAGCCACATAATATGCTATGCCTAACCTTGTCAGAAAACACCCACAAAGGGCCAAAAGCTAAGGTTGGCTTTGGAAGGACATTGCAGTTCCTCTAGCTTGCCTCTCCTCTGCCTCAATTTCCATCGCTCCCACCCCATTCACAAGATGAGTATATTGTACAGACTTAGTGGCAATGCAAAACCTTGCAAAAGCTTCCATTTTCATTTCTATCAGCATTTAGTGAATATTGGTTACTTCCATGGTGAAATTAAAATTTATGGTGAAACTTCTTAAAAATATAAATTTACATTAGAGCTCTGCATCCCCATCTTCAGTTTATTTTCCTAAATATATGGTACAGAACGGATCTTGTCAAAAATCAAGTCACTGCCACATTACCCATAATATATGTATATATTCTCAAACTGTATTTATCACTTCAATCATATTCATGCAAGATAGATATTATAAAATATATTTTATATAAATGTATATATAAAATATTGTAAGTATCTAATATATATGTGTATGTGCATATGTATATGGGTAGATGACTAAATATGGTAGAAAAAATCTGATTGTGTGATTAATTTGGCTTGAGAATGAGGACGGGAGATGAAACTCTAAGAGTAATCACTTATATGGATCAACTTAGTCAGCAAGTAATCTCTTTTTATTCCTTTAAAGCTTTATGAATAGGAAACATTAAAACTGAGCCACAAATCTGCACAAAACCTGAAAAAGGCAGTCTTACACCTTGTACTTAAGTTAGCATAGGGACTTTACACAAAATGAAATTTGAATTTTATATAGCATGCATAGAGGGTATGATGGGCTGAATAAACCTTCAACTAGCTCTCAAAAAAAAAAAAAAAAAAAAGACCTTGATGCGGGCAGAGTCCAGTTCTCTGCTAGGGAAATCCCTCTCGGACCTCAATTCGTTATTTCTGTAGAGAACTGCTAAACTCTGCCTTATAGAGCTCTAATTTTATGACCTAAATCTTACTAAAACTACTTCTTAGTTTAAGAAGAAGAAAAGAATTTCTCAGACAAAAAAAAAAAGTTTCAAATGCCTCCAATAATACACTGAGGAAAGAATGTGGCTGGCCCTTGGGTGTCACCATAATGGAATTTTTTTTTTTTTTTACCATAATGGAATTTTAACCACCATTTAATTTGTTCATGTAAAAGTGCCTTTTCAAAAAAAAAATCTCTCCCTCTTCCTTCCACTCCCTCTCTGTCTCCCCATCTCTGTTTCTCTGTCTCTGTATCTCTGACAAATGTACTCTATTACATTTTTTCAAGGGAAGGAGATACATATTAATCTCTTGGTTTGCTCGTTTATAGTACTTCCTCACACTAACAAATAAATGACCCAAACGCGATGGTACTGTACTCCTGGTATCTGGCAGTCTAGGAAGAAAGATCCATTACGTGAAGAAATAAGGGACACAAGGAATCCTACTTCCCAGAACTGCACCAATAATTCTCTTAGAGTCGTCATCTATTAGATGCCAAAACAATAACCAAATAAGCAAAAGTAGCAGTGACAATTTTGAAGTCATATGTCAGGATGCCTATTTAGCCAGAGAGGTAAAACAGAGTAGAGAAATTAAGAGCATACACTTAGGAGTTAGGAAGTACCAGGTCTGCCTTCTGAAATCATGCCTTGCCTCTGCTACTTACTACTTGATGACCTTGGGCAGGGTATTTAACCTTGCTAAACTTCTCATCTTTAAAATAGAGTTAATACAAATATTCATATCACATTTCTATGCAAGGTTAAGATAAAGCTTATTTAGTGCCTATCACAGTGTCCAACACATAGCTCTGAAAATAGATCCATTTTAATTATTATTATAAGGCAGCTACTGTTGGATTTATAACAGCAGCTCTGACCATGTAACTAAAACCTGAATCTACAGATGCTGTTTCCAGGCTTTTATCTAATATGTGCTGAGAAGAACTAAAAACAGATGTTTTCCAGGAAGAAAAATAATGAACCCTTACATTAAACATAAATGAAGTTTTTATTCTCTAGAGCTTTCCCAGCTGAGGTCTAAATTATGGGGCTGATGCATAATCTGGGATTGTTTCCAAATTTGTCTTAAAAAAGGAAAAAGAGAACCTCTCTCATTCAACACTGGCTGTTTATTTTCTAGAATTCTTTGGAGTTAAGACCTCCTCATTTATAGGTAAGCTATCTGGCATAATGAAGTCTGACCATCAGCTAAGGCATTTTGTGGAACAGTGAACTCTAAGACAACACCTGGGCAGAAATAGATGTGTAACAATTCAAAAAAACTGACTTAACAGTTGAGTGGGCTGAAAGCAAATACTGAGCTGAACTAGCTAAAGGCACCTATCTGAATGCAATAGCCTTTAGAAGTGATTACTCCTTGTGCTCTCAGTTTAAAAAATAATCTTACAAAGGGAAAGAATTGGAATTGAAATTACTCTTAAATTAAATTACTACAATGCAAAAAACTCTTTTTGTATTTGAGTGATAATTTCTGAAAGACAGTGCCAGAAAAGGTTGTAATGTCTTCATTGTTGAAACTTCCAAAAAAATGTTAGAAAGCCAAGAGCCTTGGGCCAGCAGCATGAGCGTCTCCTGGAGAACTGCTAGAAATGCAGAACCCTGCGCCCTGTCCAGACTCCTGAATGACGATCTTTATTTTAACAAGATCTTCAAGTGATTCACATGTGTATTAAAATTTGAGAATCTCAGCCACAGAGTGTTGTTTACAGTGGTGCCTACTCATAGGTGTGTGGGTGCTGTGGACTGTAAAAATCCAGATTTCCAGGTTCCTGCTTTAGCTATGACTCTGAATCTCCATGTTGTAAAATGGAGTATTAATTTTTATTTTCATGTTTACAGTTTTATTCATGATTTGAATTTGTGTATGATTAAAAACGTGTAATAAATTCATGTTTATTATCAGAAACAAAATTCGATTTTATTTCAGGAAAAAAGTAGGTTTATCTCTAAATAAACAACACAAACACTGAATAGTTCAGTGAGAGGTTGCTTTCAACTATATAGAAGGTTGTAAATATTTGAATTTTGGTACAATTCTGGATGACTGCCACTGTGAAGATTAATCAGGCAGTTCACAGAATTTTAATTTTTAATCCAGGTATTTCAAATTTCCCCAGATTCAATAAAGATTTAAGTTTACTGGAAGTAAATATCCTGTCATTCTATTCTCCTGGGGTAGTATAACAGCAAACACATTGGGTAAAATATTAAAAACATTTGTCTTTTCATTTAGGTATCTTTAAATCCATTTGTGGTTTGACATCATAAAGACAGATATATATTTTTCTTTCTCTAACATAGGTAGAGAAGTAGTTGAGTAAAAATATAAACAAAAATTCATTTATTTTTATGCTTAAAGTGTTTTTAAATGATTAGTGTTTCATTCCTTCATTAGTTTCACTAGAATTTTGTTGGCACAAGTTTGCTTTACTTTTATTTTATAGGTGCAATGAGTCAAATGCAGAGAATTTTGTATGTCAAAATAAATCTCCCAAGACATACATGTCAGTAAAATGAAACTCTTTATATCTTTTCTATTAAAAATTCCTGTCAATTGGATTTTCTGCTCTATTAATATTACCCCTATTGTGAATCTGCACTTCTCATGTAACACCAGTATCTATCCCTTGCTTTTACTACACAAAGGGATCCCCCACTATCCCAAATTCTCATCAGGCTATAGAATCCAGGGGGAGGCTCATACTCCAAAAGCATCAGGAACAGGAGAATGTGATATTCCTTACAGCATCATGTCACCTTCAGAGTTTGTTGAGCTCCTGAAACCTGGATAAAACTCCAATACCTTTGCATATGCTGTCCTTTCTGCATAAAATATTTTCTTCTTTCCACCTTGCCAATCATTTCTGCACAGCTTTTGACACGTTTTGTTTTGTTTTTCTTCTGGTTTATACATACCAAATACTCGACATGGATTATTCCTTCTTACCTTTCAACACAAACGTCACCTTCTCACAAAGGCCAACCCTCACTCTTTTATCTACCTTTGTTACCCAGTCCCATCCCCTTTATAATTTCGAGCTAGCCCCTTGACTGCTTCATAGCATTTATCACAATGTGTATTTATTTGCTTATTGCCCTTCTCCATTACTTGACTATAAATTTCATTAGCTCATGCTTAATTAAGAATTTTAGAAAGGATCAATTTTTTGCTAACTAGTTTTCCTAAGATGAATAATAATACCAACAATAGCTA